ATAATTCCTTTTTGGTCAAAAAAAGTATAATTCCTCAGGACAATATTTAAGTCAAGTTCCTTATATTCATTATGTTAAATTTCTTAATTACACATGATCATGTGTCCCATTTTTAAAATATTAGCATTTAGTACTATTTAATTATCAATTCATATGAAACAAAAAATGGCATATGACCACGCATAATTGAAAATTTAACTTAATGAATATAAAGAACTTGACCTAAGTTTTTTCTAACTCCTTGAACCGCCCTCTCCCTCTCTCTCACTGTATATATATATACACACGCACATAATACCTTTAAACTAGCATAGGAGATTCATATCCCCCAAAAAAAAAAATTACAGCTCTATATTTTCTCGTTGAATTTTCACATTTTAAATTTAGACCCATTTATTCAATTTAAGCATGAAACAAACTTACACGGTCATATTAAGATAAGGAAAATATTATTTCTTCCAAAAGAGATAAACAACTAATTTGTTAAGAATGACTAAGTTTGTTATTTGTAAAAAAATGTATTGATTTTTTCTTCTAATTATTTCGATTAGAAGCTATCTTTCTTGATATAAACCCTTTTAATATGTGTCATCAATATAGACTTTTGAATTTGAGATTAAGATAAAATGAATTAAAATCTTATAGTTAGGGATAAAACAAGTTCATCAACTAATTTTTACATTTAAAATTAGAAGGACTAATTCAATAAAATATCGGTAAAGTAGCATTCAATATTTTGATATTATTTTTCCATAGCATTTGATTAATGTGATTGAAATATCAGAAAAATAATATTACGATACTAAATGTATTGTAAATAAGATTAGGATATTAGATGCAACTATAAAATAATATCAAGATACTTGATATTTCAAGACCTATATATATTTGGACATGAAACACGTCCTTTCGTTTTGATGACCTCCTTGTTCGCGCGTCGAGTCCATTAGTGGGATAAAGAAAACTATCCATTTATAGTGCTTTCATATATGCGTATTAAAATTAACATATGATATTAGTAGCTAGCTATCTTTATATTCCATTATCTATTTATTAGGAAATGCTACTCAATTTTTAATTTCTAGCTTCTTCTTTATACATTGAATTAGCATGCATGTGTTGTGTCATTATATTTTGACTTTTGATCTGATCGTCTTTGTCCACTAGGGAGTATCATTGCTACATCCACTAATCCTCAAATTAGTAGTAGTGCATGCATGTTGGATTTATTATCCGCCATAAATTCTATATCCACAATTTTAAATTTAGATTTAAGATTATGGGAATTTGGTTATTTCTAAATAAATATTATCCATTGAGACCCCAAATCTCCAATTATAGAATGGGAGATAAATCCTATCCTGTCATAGATACTATTAGAGCTAGTAGCACCCGGGAGATAAATCCTAGCTACTCTCCGCCATCCTAAAACTTTTGATACTAAATATAAGATCCTGAACTATTTTATCTCATAAATTTATAATTTTTTAAATTACCTTTATTAATTACGTATACTAAAGGTAGATTTTCATATAAGGATAATTTTCATTATAAGTGATTAAAGATGATATATTGGGAAAGCAACACCAATTTTTTTCAAATAACAAACTAAACTAATTTTTTAATATTTATAAATTAGTTATCTAATTTTTACATTTTGGAGCAGTGGGGAGTCCGGGACGTATTGGCTAGTTCTTACAAAAACTAACCACCCTACAAGTGTCCATGGGAAGTTGGAAACATAAAATATCTTCTAACTGAAAATTTTATAATTTATAATTTAGAAATTAAATAAAAGGAGAGCGGTTTCAGAGATTCCAGTGCGCCGGTGCTCACTGTTCTGTGTGTAAACATGAGACAAGCAATTAAATTAAGGATGAAGATAATATAGATTAATTAATGAGCAACATTATCTTTTTAAAAAATAGAAAACGATAGCCCAATTATCATTTCCCTATTAAGTTATATAAATAGTTGAAAGCTGCAATAATTTATTTGACGGCAGAATATGCAGTGCCCATAAACACCAATAATATTGTGGACCACTTTTTTCCTTTTCATAATTTATATATCCTTTGATGATTTTATATATAATGCTCCATTACCTTCATAATTATTCTATTTTGAGAAACTATTTTGAAATTAAATAAGAACAACCAACCAAAAAATTATATCTTCCACTGTGACTTGCACATACATTATATCCTCTATTAAAAGTTCAAAATCGCAACCTCACATTTAAAAAAAAAAAATCTTAAAAAAGGTGTTTGGTTTCAATTAGGCCATAAGCTCTCAACAAAAAGAAGAAACTTATTGAAGAGGATCGATAAATCCCATGATTATTTTTTATAATGTGTTTAGTTTTTTTTATTTATTACTAGATCATCAATGAATAAATTGCAAAAATTAAGTGGGTGATAGTTCTAGACCATGGCAAAAGAGACAAGTAGACAACCACAGAGATTAATTTGAGGAGGAGAATGACCCGACACATATTAGGTCTTATGTAATTAATGAAATATAATAATTTTTATGAGATTAATTTTTATATATATGTGGTTTATATATACTAACGTCGCATCTCAAGATTGCCGGCCTTTGAGGCTTTAATTCCTTCAATGAGCAGAATCACTTTGCAGTTGACTTTTTTAGATTCTTAATGGGTCATAGGGATTACAATTATTTGGTTTTTCATTGGTTTAATAATAATAATAATAATAATCTGATTGACACATATATATTAGTTGTGCACCATACCAAATTTCAATCATGACTTTGTAAATTTCGACATATTTACCTATGTTTGGTGGGAAAGGAATGGGAAGAAAAATTTTAATAAACTCAATTTAAAACATTAAAACGTGGGACTGTGAAATTTCGATGAAAAGGATATGCAAGACAAAAGAGGAAGAAAATTTGATTAAAAATTTTTAATCCCACTTTTTCAGTTTTTTAACTCATTCAAATTTTTTCTCATTTTTCTTCCCTTCCATTTCCCTCATACCAAACAGACATTTCACTGATAAATTATGCCGCCATTGATATGTTGGAAGCCTTAAAAGGAGGTAAGTGGGAAAATGAATGATGAGAATAAAATTAAAAAAAGAATAGAATTCCATTTTGTTTTGTTTGCACCAATGATATTTCCACAACCGACAGCCAATGACTAATTTATTTTGAACTGTAGAGATCACAGAACTAAAATGGGTTTTGTATCTCTCAATGAGATTTTGTTTTTTTTCCATTCACATAGTTAAGAGTAGATGGAATTCTTGTATATCTGGTTAAAAAAAAAAAGATGGAATTCTTGTATAATTGAAGTCTTCGATAACCCAATTTTTCCAAAATAGCTAGATAAAATATAATAAAAATTATAGAATTTTCTCTTTATTTTAATTTGAAGAAAATATTGTTAGTTTTGTGAAAATAGAAGGGCTAAATTATAATTCTTAGGATTTATATATTTTAGCTTTAAAATTTGTATCCTACATCGGTGAAGCATGGTTAACAAAATACACAATAATTCAACTATACATGTAGTATAAAAATTAAATGTTAAAAAATCAATTTCATTTTTTTGGTACAAAAAATAACATTAGCATATATGTATCAATATAATTTATATATATAAAAAGTCTTCGTCATATATACTACAGTACCGGCATTGACTTACCTACCAATTCTTCTGATAAAATATTGTTCTTAAACAATTTATTTTAATGAGATCCTATAACCAATTATCCTAAACTTTTTGTCTCGTCTTCACGATCCTTTCGAATTTTAGTTTCTTTCTTAAGAATTTAGATTCCGTTCAATTTATAAATTTTTTCTACTTCAATTTTTTTAATATATATTAAACAAATTGTCCATTTGTGGGTTGATAGAACGGTTGTCACATGCATCATGCTACCACATTTACTCCAAATTTTCAAACAATTATATTCCATTCGACATATATATAGTGCATTTATAGCCTGACCCAACAATACAATAATTATATATTAAAGTACCTACTATTCTAATCTTATTTTTCTGGAGCATCTAACACCCCAATGTTATATTTTTTGGTCACATCCAGCGTCCTAAAGATCAAGGTAAAGGGTAAATCTATTCATTACAAATGATAAAGGTACATTCAATATCTTGATCTTATTTTTCAAGTACGTCCAATAACTAGATTTTTTATGCGGTGTATCCACCACCCAAATCTTATTTTTCTGGAACATCCAACACCTCGACGTTGGTTTTTTAGTTAAATCCAAGTTCCGTGAATAGCAGGAAAATAAGATCAGAGTACTGGATTCACCTTTATCTCCTTCAAAATTCCTTCTTTTTTTTTTTTTGGTGTGTGCATCACTAAAACATTTTCTCAGATTTTTGTGAAGTAAACGCTACATTTTGGAAATGAAAGGAATGGAAAAGTAGAGAACAGAGTTTCGTGCAATGATTCAGTTTTGTCGGCAAGTTGGGGCTTTGATATAGACTTCACACATCTCCGTCCCCAACTTGCTCTTTCTCTCTATACAACTTATAAACTCCATCGTCCCACCCACTAACCACAAGAGAAGATTAATTCAATTATATATAATTTCTTTAATAATTCTCATCAATTTTGTTTAAACTTATTATTATACAGTAATTAAGGCTCAAATATAATCTTCAAATCTATACACACACACACATATATATATATATGAGGGATTATCAGTTTATGTTATAATTCCGAACAAAGTCTGATCAAAATCGTCGATTGAAAATTTTTTGAATAAAAGAAAAAGAACGGAAAAATGAAAGCTAAAAGACAGTGATATATATATATATATATATATATATATATATATATCACTTTTGTGATAGGCACAAGCACTAGCAACACCACCACCAAAATGCCATTATCGAAAGTCCCTTCCATTCCAACCCCATTATTTTCTTTTCACATGTATTAATTAATTCCATATACAGTACACTTACTTCAATCTTAAGAACTATATATATTCATCAGTTCTTCAAAACCCTATATATAATACAGCAGACACAGTTCAGCGATATAGAGTACTGAAGAAGATCGATCATCATGTGGCGTCTTCTAGAGAACGTAAAGAAGAGTTCTAGGGTTGCAGATGAGAACATGGTGGTTGATAGTACTGCAGGAATGTTTGGGCATGACAGAGAAATAGCAGAAGCGGACGAAGGTGGTCATCATCAAGCAAGAGGAGGAGGAGGAAGAAGAAGAAGGCATGGTGGGTTTTCTGTGATAATATATTGTATTCTTCAAGCTCCCATTTCTATTCTGTCTTGTGTTTCTAGTCCTCATGTTAATGGAGGTTCTGCTGCTTCTGATGGAGTTTGGCTCTCTTCATCTTCTGCTGATCATTTTGCACATATTTCTGAGATGAATCATCTAATGGTTAGTGATAGCATGAGATATGCAATTTTGATGTAAATTCAAAAGAAATTAATGTGAATCAATATCGTCTCTAGTCTACTTGTTATTAATTATGTTATGGGGTGATTTTTCGCCAAGCAGTATTATCCAACTCGATTTCAGTGTAGTCTGTGAATTTTCTCGGTTCAATCTTATTGGAAATGCCTTTATTATCGTTTCTTTTAATCTGTCATCCCAATTTTTGTTATAAATTCCACATCGAAGAGTCTCACAAGTGAAGTGTGCATATAAAGGTTAGCTTTTTGAAACCGGGTTTTGCCTTTAGACATGTATTCCGAACAATTTCATTGTCATGAAACAGGATAATAGTACAGATCAAAGTATCTAAACATAATTGAAGTGACTTCCAACAATTGAATTTGTTTTCTTTTCTTTTATCTTTTTCTTAATTTTGTTTTTTTAATTATCTAGGCTCTTTTGGATCATAGCTTAAGATACACTGAGATTTATATCTATGTGTGTAAAAGAATTTTCCACATATGCCAATAATGTCTTGATGATCAATGTTCAGAGATATCTGGATGAGTAAGTGAAGGTTCATCTTCTTCTCTTCTCAATTTCTTTCTTTTTTCCTTTTCTGAATTTTGTATTTTCTAACTGCCTTTGTGCTCATAAAAAAGTCCAAAATTTTCATCAAGATAAATGAAAATATCGGAGCATGTGGATCACTTGTTAAATACTTAACAGTACAATAACTAATCTCTTATTACACATTATTATAATTATTCCATCTTCCCTACACAAAATTTTATCACCAAATAAGTTTAGTGATAAAAATATTAATTCAGTGTCATGTATTTTATGTATTGTATGATCTTTATAATATCTAATGGTATTATACTGAATTAACATTCAAAATTATTTTTGCTCTATTGATTAATTCAGTATTGCTCGATCTTCTGTTAATGGTTCTTGGCGGAAGTCTTTCGGCTGCATAATAAAGAAGAAATATAAAATAAAATAATATATATCTGTGTTGCTGATGTATTCATGAACTAATATTTGTTTAATTAATAAATTATTTTGAATATATATATATATATATATTCAATACACCTGTTTTGCACCAGAATCATTAATTTATTTTTTTCAATTTGTTTGTTTAGTTGGATACAATGAATAATGGGCAAGTTGTGAAGTGCCTCAAAGATGCTTCCGAAGGGAACAAAGAAAAAGAAAAAAAAAAGGAAAAGAAAAAAGAGAAAAAGAAAGAGGAAAAAAAGAGAAAAGAATATTATGAGAAAGTAATTAACAAAATTAACAAGAAATTTAAACTAAAATTGAATGATTAAGAAGAGGGTAGGTGGAAGTAGTGGAACTCAACTTTGTTTCATATCTCCCACTTTAATTAGTGTTTTTACATGTCAAGGATGATTAGTGGAGTAACCAGAGATTCTTGTTCTATTATTATCCATCACTTATATTTTCCTATCAATTATATAACATCTAATCCAACAATGGCATTTATATTTGTATTTATTTATATAAATAATTACAAGCATCTTGTACGGTTAATTTTTTTTTAATGGTTTCTTCATCTTATGATTTAACATCATAAGTTTGTGGGTGTCAATCAATTATAGATACGAGGAATTTTAACCTTATAATTTTCAATTATGATATGATTATTACCACTACTCAATTTATGTCTTATCTTTATTCCACAACCACAGTTATTAATTATTGTTGCCTTTTTTTTATATATTAATAATTATTAACTGCTAGATTTACCAGGGAATTTAGGTAGGTTTAATTCTTCCTGTCCTGGTGTCCTCGTTAAAAACAAAAAAAAGAATATTACTCGAATTGTAATATGTTGGAACATCAAAATTTATATTCGCATCTAGATCTAGAAAGTTTAAAAAATTAAAATGAATTAAGGGTAATATATAGTAGCAATATATTGTAATACCTCCAGTCTTTAATATAAGATCTTGTTTGACTTTTATTTTGATCATAAATATAAGACCCCAATCTACTTTGTCTATCATATTTATCCTTTTTTTTTAAGATAGTCCTTTAATAATGGTAGTTCTAGATAACAAATTTGATTAGCAAGGATATTTTAGAAAAAAACAACTATTCATTACAAATACCTAACTTAACTAAGTTTCTTAATCTCCTCAAATTAGTCAACTGGGTCTTATAATTAGGACCGGAGGTAGTATTTAATTATAATATATTGATTGATTATTGAGTGTCAATTTCAGTATTAATCAAAATGTCATTTTCAATACATCATTTAAGATTCTTCCCAGATTTATATATGAAGCTTCCTTTTTATCGTGGGAGCCGCGGCCGCCCACTCTTCTGATTTACCTTATTCGCTACACTTCTATATGATTTAATCATTCTTTAAAAAAAAAATTGCACTTTTAGATAATACCCACATCTAAATTTACTACAAGATCCAAAAGCAATGGAATAAAATACTCCTTATAATCCTAAAATATAAAAGCTAATTGAAAAATTTGTTTTAATCTTAAATATAATATTTCAATCTACTTTAATTTTTTTTCTAAATTATAACTATTAATTATATATATTAAAGAATGTTTTCATCAATGGATAAAACGATAAAAGTGATATTCTAAAGAAACCAACATATATTTATTACTAATAAATAAGTTAACTAATTTTCTTAATATTTATAAATTAAATGGAGTAGAAGTTTTGTTATAAAGACTACAAAGTCATTAAAAGTTTAGCTTCAAATGAATCCGTGGAAGTTTTTTTTGCCAATGCATGCATATACTTTTTTTCAATGCAAATCCTTGGGTATATTTTAAGGAACATGTTTGAGAAAATCTTAATTCATTTAGTTCTGCAATAGAGTTCCCATTTATTATTGAGAAAATCGTTAAAAAAAATCTTAAAAATTGAAAAATTATATGCAAGAACTGTTCACAAAAATTGTTATCGTTTGCTTATCAATTATTATCAAAATAAATAATAATATTGTAACATGCCTCTAATTGTAATTTTTCTATTTTTAAGATCTTTTTTTGTGATTTTTTATTTGTTAATTTTGTGATTATTGCTATATCACGAGTGTTATATATTTTTAGCATCCTAGAATTTATACAAACATTTTATTATATATACTCCTCCGGTCCTTATTATAAGACCCAATTTGACTTTTTATTTGGTCCTAATTATAAGACCCAATCCATTTGTCTCTTATATTTATGCATTTTTTTCCAAGATAATCCTTCTAATAATGATAGTTTTAGCCAATATACTTAATTAACAAGGATATTTTAGGAATGACAACACTTATTTATTATAAATAACCAACTTAACTTACTTCCTTAATCTCCTCAAATAAGTCAATTGGGTCTTATAATTAGGACCGGAGGAGTACTTTTTAATCTCAATTTCAAAACCAATTACATCTTTAAAAAAACAATTCTGAGATAGAAGTGAGGCAGTTACAAAGATAATTATTCATTAGGGACGAATGAGATTATTTTTATATTATTGGAGAATTTAAATTTATATTTTCGCTCATATATAATATGAGTCTTATCGTCAGCAATTGAGTAGTTATTTGAGATCATTTCCAAAAAAAATAATTTTATGCTTTAAAAAATAAAACTGTTTTCACATATTTATCTTATATAATACTCCTCCGGTCTTAATTATAAGACCCAATTGACTTATTTGAGGAGATTAAGGAAGTAAGTTAAGTTAGTTATTTATAATAAATAAGTGTTGTCATTCCTAAAATATCCTTGCTAATTAAGTATATTGGCTAAAACTATCATTATTAGAAGGATTATCTTGGAAAAAAATGCATAAATATAAGAGACAAAATGGATTGGGGTCTTATAATTAGGACCAAATAAAAAATCAAATGGAGTCTTATAATAAGGACCGGAAGAGTATAATATTTTTTAAATTAAGCCAGATATAGTGTAAATCATCCGCACAAAGGAAGCATATAACGAAAAGACGGGATGAAGGGGAAGGCCCAAAAAAAAAAAAATAATTGGACGTTTGTGGCTGTGGAAAGCGGGAAACAAAAGTAAAAAAGTCAAGCTGAAATGGCTGCATGTCGCCTTCTTGTTATTTTTAATGATTTACTGGGAATACAATGTGCATTATTTTTAGTGGAGGTCACTGCTTCTATAGTTTTAATTACTTTTCTAATTCACGTCCCATTTTATTCACAATTAACCCACTCATACATAACAAGCATCAATATTTTTTAAAATCTACAGAGTCATATTCTAATCATAAATTACAAAATATGTTTCTCTCTGGTGTTCTAAATATTCTAAATATAAGATCTCGCTAATTAACTTAATTAAATTCAAAAAAATTAGGTACAGTGCTCAACAAAAGTTTGGAATACTCATTTCTCATGGGAGTACTTCTCCTGGCTAGGCTTTTTTTTTTAATGAGAAAGGAGGCCACACTAGCTTTGTGGAGATAGAAGGGGACTACTTTGCTACTAGACCAATGCACCAAGTGTGCCTGTATAAGAGCAGTGTACGAACGTAAGAGAAGTTATTGTATTTGTCTTTCTAAAAGAATTCCAGAAATTGGAGCTATCAAAATTTGCTCTTGATGTTGCCGTTTGAATGCTACGCACAATCTTGGTTTACAAAATCGCCCACCTGGTTGGTAGGAGCAATATGTTTTAAGCCGTAAATCTAGCAAGCTAGCAGCACTAAAGTTGGCTCTTCATTTTTCCGAGTCACATAACACGATATCCCCATACTGCAAGAACACAAGGTTAACTCTGACATCTACATGGATACCATCCCCTTCGAAAAGAGAATGATCAGATCAGCAAGAGAATGCTGTTTGCCGTAGTTCTATCCACATAAAGAATTCATGGAATCTGGAGTGATTGTGAAGTATCAATTTTTTTTTTTTTTGCCCGCCTTTTAAAACGGACAATTTCGCTTCATGGGTTTTCTCGGTACAACCCTACAACCCTCCATCGCGGCAGTTGAAAGGCGGGAGAAGGACTCAGACAAGCTTTCTGACTCCCCAATCAGCCTTTTGCTTCCAACGCATTAAAAATTGGTATCTTGCTAACCTGCTCCACCTACCTACTCGAATCCAATGGGCATGTATGACAGGAATTTCATTGTTGAGTTCAGTGACATTTTTATCACTGAAATAGGGTGATGTTTTTGTCATGGAAGATACAAGTGGGAAGTTCTTTCACTTGCCCTTCGATCAACCTCACTTTATTGCAGATGCAAAATTTCTGTTCCTCAGAACTTGAGC